GTAGCTCCGATGGAAAAACTTTGTACATGGAAGTTGCTCAGAACGATGAGACGAACCCGGATACGCAGCCCGTTCATCCGCCACGCATCCCTAGCATAGCGAACACGTAACTTTTCCCCTCTGATTCATCTGTCCGAAAACGCGAAACACCGGGGATACTTTTCCGGATGTTTCTCCCCTTCACCGGTATCACCTCATACCGCATTAAGGCACCCCTATCACCGCTACTTGTCATGTCATGCATCGCTATGGATCTGTTTGCATTATATTCATTGTTTCTTCCCCCTCTTCTCTCCGATAGACTATGAGACTGACGCCGTTGCTGGTGCCCCAATCGACTATACTGTTAACAACCCCTCTTTCTTGCCAGAGCAACCAGGCAAGCCCCCCCCCTTGATCACCAGATATCGCCTATTCTTCTCTCTACTACTTGCATTAGAGTAGTGTAGCATGTTACTGCTTTCCGTTTATCCTATTCTGATGCATAGCCTGTCATTGTTGCTACAGTTATTGATACCTTACCTGTAATCATAAATGCTTAGTATAGGATGCTAGTTTACCATCAGTGGCCCTACATTCTTGTCCGTCTGCCATGGTATACTATCGGGCCGTGATCACTCGGGAGGTGATCACGTGTGTATACTTACATACATATTATATGATACCTGTGATGACTAAAGTCGGGTCGGCTCGTAGAGTACCCGCGAGTGATTCACGGATTGGGTCCGAAAGGACGTTTGTCCCGACGGCCCTCTGAGTGGATCTTTGTGGCGGAGCGATAGGGCAGGTTGAGACCGCCTAGGAGAGAGGTAGGCCTGGCCCTGGTCGGCGTCCGCGGTTAATTCAATTAACACGCTTAACGAGATCTGGGTATTTGATCTGAGTCTGGCTACTAGCCTATACGCACTAACCAACTGCGCGGGAACAGTTATGGGCACTCGACGTCGTGGTATCAGCCGAAGACTTCGTGACGTCAGCGACTGAGCGGTGCGCGCCGGGTTGGACTGGAACACATGCTCTTGTATAAAGGAGGCTAGGTCTGCTCACCGGCCGCGTCGCAACATGCAGGTGTGCAATGGGCGATGGGCCCAGACCCCTGCGCCATAGGATTTAGACCGGCGTGCTGACCTCTATGTTGTGCCTAGGTAGGGTTGTGACGTGTTGATCTTCCAAGGCCGAGCATGACCCAGGAAAGTGTGTCCGAACAAAGGGGATCGAGCGTGTTGGGAAATGTGGTGCACCCCTGCAGGGAAGTTAATCTATTCGAATAGCCGTGATCTTCGGTAACAGGAAGACTTGGAGTTTTACCTTGACCTTATGACAACTAGAACCGGATACTTAATAAAACATATCATTTCAAGTGCGAGATACAACCGGTGATCGCTCTCTCACATGGCGACGAGGAGAGCATCATCGGGTAGGATTATGCTATGCAATGTTACTTGGTGAACTTACCATCTATTCTCTTCTGCTGCAAGATGGAGGTTACCAGAAGCGCGGTCTTCGATAGGACTAGCTATCCCCTTCTTATTCCGGCATTCTGCAGTTCAGTCCACATATGCTACCCCTTTTCCATTTGATACCAATGCATGCATATGTAGTGTATCTCCTTGCTTGCGAGTACTTTGGATGAGTACTCATGGTTGCTTTGCTCCCCCTTTTCCCCCTTTCTATACCCGATTGTTGCGACCAGACGATGAAGTCCAGGAGCCAGACGCCACTGTCGATGACGACTGCTACTACTCGGGAGGTGCCTACTACTACGTGCAGGCCGCTGACGACGACCAGGAGTAGTTTAGAAGGATCCCATGCAGGAGGCTTGCGCCTCTTTCGATTTGTATCCCAGTTTGTGCTAGCCTTCTTAAGGCAAACTTGTTTAACTTATGTCTGTACTCAGATATTGTTGCTTCCGCTGACTCGTCCATGATCGAGCTCATGTATTCGAGCTCTCGAGGCCCCTGGCTTGCAATATGATGCTTGTATGACTTATTTTATTTGTAGAGTTGTGTTGTGATATCTTCCCATGAGTTTCTGATCTTGATCGTACACGTTTGCGTGTATGATTAGTGTACGGTCAAATCGGGGGCGTCACAATATTGACATTGTTTACTTATTTTATTCTAGCCGCTTCATTAGTCGAATTTGGTTTCTTTGCAGGTTACTAACCTTCGAAAAGATTTACGATGCACGACAGAGATGGTATATAAATTTTGAGTCGATCGCAGAAACGTAGGGCGCTGACTGACATGTTTGCTGCCTCCATGGTAATGAAATAAACCGCAGCTGAATTTCTTCTTTTTTTAAGAAAAGGAGGATATACCCTGGCCCCTGTATCTGGGCGATGCATGCAACCATTTTACTACTTATTCACATAGATCTTGTAAAGTAATACATCAATAAGTCTGAAGCCACCATCTTGGTAACACCTATCGCTACTCCTATCCTCTTGATGAAGGGATGCCGAATGTCCTAATCGAATACCAAACAGACATTGTACCAAAGTCTAACATCTAAAGCCGGATGCCCCAGCCAAGCCACAAAGCGGGGACTGGGTCACACACCGGCCAGGCACACTCTCAGAGGCCGCCGCTGCCATCTTCCATTGATCCATCTCCAGATTAGGTACAGACGCACCAACCTTGGTTGGCCTGTCATCGATGCCACCACGGTGCCAGACAACGCCACCGTCCTGCACGTATCCATCCACACGCGCCCGTCGTCGAATTCTGCAGTGCCATGCCGCCGGGATCCGTCGTCGGTCTTGCGGTAGATGTAATGCTCCTCCTCCTCTTGTCCCCTCCAGTCAGCACTTGCTCCAAAACAATGCCCTTAGGAGGGAGAACGACACCGAAGGCGCAATCATCGTCCGATCTGGTAGACCCAAATCTAGGATTTCCCCCAGAACATCCCGATCGAGTTGACATGACCTGCAACAACGATGCCGCGAGAAAAAAAACGGCGTCAGAGACGCCACAATCGTCTGCCAAGATCGTAGTCAAGCGCGGTTTTCACCGAAAGCCGCGTCGTCCCGATCTCGCGGCTGGCTGGAAATGCGCAGAGCTTTTCCATGCAGACGTATGCCGCCACCAATTCTCCGGCGGAGATCCTCCATCCCCTCGGCGGAGCCCTCATCGCGCCGCCAACCATCCACATGAAGAGTTGGCGACGGATCTGGGTGGGATCCAGATCAGCCCAGCATCGCCGGAGATCTTGGATCCCGTGGGTCATGAAGGGTAGCGGGGCCGCCGCACAACCAGGTGCGCCACCCTGGTCACTGCGAACAACTCCCGCCCCAACCGCACCAACTAGGGATGCATACGACCATTATAGTATGAGTGCCAAGATAAACATGGTCCTCAGAATATTTTAAATGAATATCAAGATATTTCTTGATGAGTGGTTTCACCACACACCAAGCTTGATCCTCAATAAATGGAAGAAAAACCCCTATACATCACCTGTCAATTCTAGAAGTTAAACTTGGGTCGTTAGGATACACAACTGCATGCCTAACCATTGAGCCAAGGCTCTCTTTGCAATTTTTGTTATCTGTATGTGTTGCCAGGACACCTGAATAACCTGAGGCCGACTGGTTGGTTTTGTTGTTTTAACCAGGCCTTTTCTCTTTACAACACTGAATGGATGAAGTGAGAATTTGAGACAAGCCATGATCTCACAAGCTAGCATAGCACTCAACAGGCGGATTTCTCCTATGTGTTGCCCTTGCTGCTTCAGTTTAAATTTAGATTAGACTTCACCGGGTGTATGTAATCTGAAATCTCTTCAAAGGTTAAGTTTACTACTGTATGCCCATTCAGAGAGTATGAAATCCGTCACGTCAACAACGCATTCAAATGCAAGAGGTTGTGTTTTTCTAGATAATAACGGAAGACAAAATCATAGCTTCCAATGATTCAAATAATTCAAAATCAATACACATGTTGTAGTGGGTCCTATCGCCGTGATTTGTCGAAAACCTTCAAAAGTAATAGTTTACTGAAGAAAAATGACATCCTAATTTACTGGTTTCTAACTTTGTAATAAAGTCTAATGAAAACCTTCAAATGTAGTAAGATTCCAGCGAAAGACATCCCGGCCTTGTGTCAAGTTAATCGAATCCAAACGGGATAGAAGATGTTGTCATGATACAAGACGGGTCCCAACCAAATCCCTCCGAAATGATATATCTGGCGGAGAAGTGGTCATCACATGCGCAAGAGTATCGTTCTTATCGCATACAATGCGGTACAAGGCTGGGTACTGTTCTCGGAGAGTGGTATTTCCTAGCCACTTGTTCTCCCAGAAGCGTATCTCCGAGCCGTCCTTTATCGCTAAGGATCCGAAACGGAAAAGATGTTTCTTTACTGCCATCAGACCAGCCCAAAAATTGCACCGACGGACAATGGATTTGCGAGATCATTAATTCCTCCATTGAGGAATACAATAAGTGCAAACTGGAGATCATACATAACCTTGAACTCAAGGATCGACGGTAATAAGATCTCCCAAGTAATGTTCTTCCATTAAAAGTGCAACCGGATGAAAATGTTATATGTGCATCAGCAAATTAAAGTCACCCTATTCAGAAATCGACTTACAAAAGAAAATCGCAGACGACTTGGATTAGTAAAACCATTAAGGAAAAATTCATGCGTTATACGTACTGTATATCCGAAACACTTTTACTTTATTAGAGGAGAACACAACGGGTTAGCCATATAATTTGCAGAACAGACGTTTCTCCACACACAAAAATGCAGAACAAATGGAGATTCAACTGCAATGTCATCTGATAACTCACAATGCCCTTCATTACTGATTAATTGATTGGTAAGGTTGCACATAATGCAATGATAGTAGGATGTGGTCACTTTGAACATGACAAGAAAATTAAATGCCAGAGTACCATTGCTGAAACAAGAGAGAGCATGCATATGTAGCTAGTAACTTGATGGTTCCCAACGGTATGTAGCATCCTAGGATCAATCAAGAATCAACCATTACTGAGCTGGGGCATCGATCGAGCACTTGGCAATCAGCTCCTTGACAATAGAGGGGAAGCTTGAGCGCAGATTCTCGAAGTCGTCGCCGGCCATGGCTGCCGTCAGGTTCTTCGGAGAGCTGAGGAAATGGAAGCATGCGCCTTTGAGCTCATGGCAGTGGTGCACCTCAGCTAACGCCAGGATGCTCGCCGCCGTGCCCGCCGCGATGTTCTTGCACAGCTTGTCCTCGCAGATCAGCTTGAGCCTCTCCATGCGGTACTTGTCGGCCGCCACGAGCAGATGCTGGGCCATGGCGAATTCCTCTTCTTCCGCCGTCTCCAGCGGCCACGAGTCCGTGTACATGAAGCGGAGCAGCGCCTTGAAGACCTGCGCCTCCATGTCGGCCACGCGGACCGCGCCGGCGGCGCCGCCCTCCCTCATCGAGCCGAAGAGCTCCGCGCTCAAGACCGGCGACCGGGCCGCGAGCAGCCACCGGTGCGCGGCGAACGTCTCGCCGCCGACCTCGAAGACGACGTCGGCGCCCTTGTCGGCCGCGAGGAGGTCGCCGAGCTGCTGGCCAAGGTCGGACGGGGGCACAGGGACGGATCTTGGCGCGGGGGCCGGCGGCGGGCCCCCATCGGCGCGGAACTCGTTGACGACGATGATGTCGCAGCGGATGGTGAAGGAATCGTCCTTGAGATGGTCCGATTCCTCCAGGGTCTTCCTCTTGACGAAATTCGGGCACTCCCAGACGCCATCTTCGCCGGCCTCCACCCTGCCGAGCTTCAGCGGCGCGGGCTTACGGCCCCAGCTCTGGAGAAAGGAGAGCGCGTGCTTCTTTTCGGCCTTAAAGCGGAACTGGACCTGCGCGCGCACCTCTCCGGCGACGGCGTCGTCGAGGACGAGGTGGAGGGAGATGTGGCCCTTGTGCGAGGACGGGTCGCCGTTGGGGTAGTACTGGATGGCCCAGCGGCGGCCGCCGACGGAGAAAGGCTGGGACTTGAGGAACTCCCCCGTGGGCAGGGTGGCCTTGGTGATCGAGTAGCCGTCGATCTTCAGGTGGTGGCGCCCGTGCGTCGTGTCGGCGACGATCTCGGAGGCGCTGGACGACATTGCGGCGAGCCTCTGGCGTAGCGCCGCGCAGAGCTACTGGGATTCGGCAGGGATGGAGTGGGGAGTGGAGGAGGGGAACGCGAGGACGACGAACCTTTCTATTCTGGGAAAGGCTCTGGATCGGGACTCTTCTACACACGGGCCTTCGCAATTTCGTTCGAGCAAATGGGCTTTAGTGATAAAAAGGTTACTCAATGGGCCTTACGTTTTTCTCAAATAAATTCAAATGAAAGAGAAAACAGACCTTTACGGATATTCAAAATGGCCCCAAGGAGCATATGTTCCTGGGTGAAAAAAAGGTAAATTTCTCAATGTCAACAGAAATTGAAATCTATATGTTCGTGTCTGTGAATTTTGATGGAAAAAACACTAGTATTGTGAACCGTGCTAAGAAAAAGTCAACTAAGAAAAATAAATCCGACCTTTACGAATATTCAAAACGGCGCCAAGGAGCATATGTTCGCAGGTGAAAAGGTTAAATTATGAATGTAAAAAAATGAGAAAATATTGTCATGTATATGTTCATGTCCTTTTCCGTGTCTGATTTTTCATGAAAAAAACACAAGCGCAAATTGTACTAAGAAAAATAGTCTATTGGTCCTAAAAGAGCCCTTCTAGAGTACAATTTTTCTTTTGCCTAGATTACACACTTATTTGTTCACGAAACTACACAGGCAGATAAGAGACATGAACATGTGTGTTGTAGAAAACAATCTTTTTTACAGTTACACTATTCATCCTGGAGCCAAAATGTTTTCCCCTTCGATACCGTTTGTGAATGGAGTGAAGTAACTACAGTACATTTGTAGCACAATTAAATCTATTATTAAACAAAACACTTGCGCTTTTGCCACCACCACCCTCCCCCCCACCCCCCAACCCAAATCGTAACACCCTAACATGCTTCTCCATCCAACAAAGTTTCTTCCTCGGTTCCCATCGCGAATGCCAATGGCTTCGACAACCTCATGCCCCGAAATACGTTGTCGCGAGGTGTTCTCTTAGATCATCCACAAGTTTTAGAGGCAAGTTCTAAATTGGGATCCACCGCCCAAATGCTTGAAGTGGTGTTCATCACCCTAGCCAAATGGGCGCGAATATGTATAGATAAGCTCGGTATGTATGAATGTTCTTTCAATATTAGTTTGACCGTGCGCAGTGATACACCGATCATAACATCGATGTAGGACGCGCATGAGGCTTCCATCAGCTTGGTTGGGGGTCCCCACGTATGGTATTAGCAATATCAAAGGGGTTTCATTACCATCAAGCAAATGGGACATAACTAATCCAACTATCAATATAATTTTCTCTCGAAAATAGTCTTTTGTGCATAAAAATAGTTTAGACCAGTATAATGCATGTATGAGTTGAACATGATCGAAGTGAGTGTTTACCAGGCTCAACAAGGTCTTCAATGTCCTCAGGTCAATTCTTTAACATCCTCAAATCCTTTAGAATGTTCGTTTTTCTACTCGCTAGAAAAAATTAAAACAACACATAATAAATAAACATTGCATACGAGGACTCCTAAAATTATAAAATTAGTATCATCGAAAACAGGGTTAGATGGACTTAGGAAAATGAATTAATGAATTAATGCATTTGGAGTTGTGGATATTCAATTATGATTTTCCAAAGTTTTTCTGAATTATGAAAAATGAAAAGGGTATTGTTCATATGGGCCGAACTGGCGTCCCAAACTACGGAACATGCTGGGGGGACTAACGTTAAAAGCGCGAGATAGAAATACGTCTTTAGTCAACAAACGGGTATATGTCTATAACAGAAAAGCTATTATGCTTTGCTTTTCCTTAAGGACAAACGTATTCACGACTTGACATGTTATAACACGCTGACAGGTGGAGCCTACCTATCGAATCAGAGAGAGAGAGAGAGAGAGAGAGAGAGAGAGAGATGGGAAACAGGAAACAGGGAAGGTGGCAACGATGAGGCTCACCGACGGTGGAGTAGCGGGCGGTAGGGTTGGGAGAGGCCCTCCTCTTCGCCTTCCCGGCCTTACGGTGATGAGGATTCATAGACAATCATCAAAATGCATCGAACACTTCTTTTAATTACATGAATATTTTGGCCAATATGTGTCGAACAATTTTCTAAATGACATGAAGATTTTTCCAAAGAATATGCCAAACACTTTTTGTAACTACATTAAGATTTATAATTGCATAAACATTTTTAAAATGTATTGGACACTTTTCAAATTACATGAACTTTCTTGAATGATTGCACCACCCTTTTAAATACATGATTTTATCTTTCAAACACTTCTTAATTGCATAATTACTTTTCTAATTGCTTCTTTTTAATGCCTTGATTTTTTCAACTACATACAATTTTTAAAATGGTCCGGACCCTTTCTCTAATTACATGAATGTATTTTCAAAGATGTTTCAAACATCTTTTTCATCCATATGAATAATTTTATAATTTATTAAGTAATTTTTAAAATACATGAACAATTTGGAATTACATGATTTCTTAAATGGTTGGAACACTTTTTTGAATGGCATGAACATTTTAAAAAAACTTGTTGATCATTATTTTAATTACATGAGTGTTTTTATAATTGCATAAAGAATGAACCAAATATTAATTTAAGTACATTAACTTGTTTTAAAAAATGTAGCAAACACTTTTTTAATTCAATCAGTTTTTAATAATTACTTAAACATTTTGAAATTCATCAAACAGTTCTAAAGTTACAAAACTTTTTCAAATAGTTTGAACACTTTTTAAATTACATGAATTAATGTTTCAAACTTTTTTTGCAATAATGTTTCAAAAACCTTTTTAATTACATGAATATTTTTGTAATTGCATAAACACTTTGTACATTAAATTATTTCCATTAAATGATCTGAATATTGTTTTAAAATTACATGAAACCCAGCATGCTCGGCAAGAACATTCTTTTTGTAAAATGACGGCAAGAACATTTCATCTTCTTTTGCTTTCTTTTTTTGAGGGGGTCTTCTGCTTTTTTTTAGATGAGCAAGAACACTCCATCTCGGTGGACCGGCCACGAATGCAGCTTCATGGGCCGCTGGGCAACCAGCTTTCCGAGATTTGGTAGGCCCAAGGTTTCTTACTCCTCCACCAGCCACCTCCACACCGGAGCTCCCCCTCCATTCCGGCCAAAACCCTCGCCTCCGGTCGCCGCCATGGCCGCGAGCGTCGAGCAAGTCCTTGGGTGGTTCCCCGGCATCGAAGCCATCACCAGAATCAGGGTCGCCTCCCTCTCCGCCGTCCCGGGCTACGCCGGCGAGGACCGCATCAGCGCCCTCCAAGACCACCTCCTCCGCGACATCGTGTCCCGCCTCCCCGTCAAGGACGCCGCCCGCACGGCCGCGCTAGCCTCCCGCTGGCGCCACCTCTGGCGCTCCACGCCGCTCGTCATGTACGACGCCCACCTCCTCCCGGCCGGCGACCCCGCGCGCGTCGCCGCCGTCGCCCGCATCCTCGCCGACCACCCGGGCCCCTTCCGCACCATCAGCATCACCTGCTGCAATTTCGCGTCGCACGAGCGCGAGCTCGCCGAGTGGCCGCGCCTCCTCGCCGCCAAGGGCGTCCAGGACCTCGTCCTCGTCAACAAGCCCGCCGACGACGAACGCCTCCCCGTCGTCCCCGCCGACATCCTCCGCTGCGCCTCGCTCCGGCGCCTCTTCATGGGGTTCTGGACGTTCCCGGACACCGGCGTCAGCCCACCCGGTGGAGGCGCAGACGGATTTCCACACCTCCGGGAACTCACCTTGTTCGGCACCGACGACATGCTCGGCGGCGACCTCGACCGCTTGCTCGCTTCCAGCCCCGTTCTCGACACCCTCGCGCTCGTCCTCAGCCCAACCTGCGAGCGCGTCCACCTCCGCAGCCAAAGCCTCAAGTGCGTGCTCCTCTGGGAGTACTTCCTGAAGGAGGTCCTCGTCATGGACGCCCCGCTCCTGGAGCGGCTCATTCTGTGGAAAACCATTGATGGTGAGGACGAACCGGTGGCTGTGAGGGTCAGCATTGCTGACGCGCCCAAGCTGCGGGTGCTGGGTTACTTGGAGCCGAGAATTCACCAGCTGCAGATTGGCGAGAATGTCATCAAGGTACTACCTTTCAATGCATCTCACTTTCAGTAATGGCATTCCATATTCCAATCTGTATCCACATTTTAAGATAATAGAAGGAGCATGGCCTCTTCATTATGCGTGAATCTTGTATGTGATCATTGTACCAACGGAATGAAGTATGATCTCTCTTTCTCTTGGTGCATTGCATTGCAGCCTGATACAATGGTGAGCCCAAGCACCGTGTTTCCAAGCGTCAAGACATTGGCCTTGAAGGTGAACTTTGGTGTCTTTGAGGAGGTCAAGATGCTGGCCAGCGTCCTCAGATGCTTTCCTGAAGTTGACAGGCTGCACATCGAGGTGACTTCTTCGTATCCTCCTGCACTGCACATTCCTTCAGTCAGCCGTTCAGCATTCATATAACAGATTATCTATCACTGAGGTGATTAAACTACTGTCCATTTTTACCATTTTGCAGTCTGTCACGGCCGATGAACCCACTGGAATGCACCATGCCGAGTTCTGGCAAGAGGTCCATCCTATCGAATGTGTGAAGTCACATGTCAAGAAGGTGGTTATCCATGAATTCCGCGGAAAACAAGGCGAAAACGAATTCCTCAAGTTTGTTAGCAGCAGTGCAGAGAAGCTGCGGTCTTTGCTTGTTGTGATTACCCAAGAAATGTTTGCGTCGGCATGGGATTTCTCAATTTCATTGCCAAATGAGGTGAATGAGGTGATTGTCAAAGCAGGGGCTCTGACGCGTGGAGCATGGGCCTGCGAGGACTGTCAACTGGTGGTGGCGGGTCCTAAAGTGGTGGATGGTTGGAACTTCCGCAGAGCGTTTGATCCCTGTGTTAAGGACCCTTTCCGCTGATGCACTTGAAGAAGCAGAGCACTCCTTCAGGTACCATGAACAGCTGCAAGTGTTCA